AGGACTCTTTGAGAGCTCATTATATACCACATTTTTATGGTTCTGCACTTAGATTACCAAACTTCTGTGACTCCCTCAAAAAGTAAGAACTATATAGTCCAGCTTTATATAGTCAATTATTTTATAGATGGGAAAAATGAGGTGAAGAAACTTGCCTAAATTCACCCTGAACAAGTATTAGAACTTGAACCAGACCCAACTGATGGAAAAATGTATGCTTGTGTTTCTTTATGTCACTTTAACAATAGCTGTTATTGCCCATCTATTTGGCCTTCATCACCATGTCTGGTAATAGATACACAGCGACCTCTAAAAAATGACATTCTCTCTCAAGGAGTGTGTAGTCCAATCTGAGAAATGCAGACAGTTCACGAAGCAGGTCATGAGATGGAAAGGTAACAATAATACAGAGTCTGACTTAATCTAATTGGGTGCTAGTAAGTAGCCCTTCAGAGGATAGTGATATGGAGAGGCTAGAGGTGGCCTTCTGGAGCAGTAAGTATTCAAATTAACCCTTGGAGTAGGAAAATAGAAAGTATGATGCATGGGAGACTGTAGAGATGAATTAGCAAACTGTAGCCAGGAGGGAAAAGGAAGAGGAAGGCAACCAGTAGTTACTACTGCCTACTATGTTCCAAACATGGATTATACTTGTCCCTTTCATGTAAGCTTTCTGATTTATTTCTCCAAGGCTGGTATTATTATACCCATTTTACAGATGAGAAAACCAGTTCTGAGTGGTTAAGAAATTCTCAAGGCTACACAGCTGGTCAGTAGGAGAGCCAGGTTTTGGAATAAAGAACCACAAAACAGATCCTCTCTTACATCAAGGGCTTTCTGCCAAATATAATATGGAATCTAGGGATTAGCACTTGGGTCACTGCTGCATATGGAGAGGACTGGGAGTTTGTGAAGTAGTCTATAAGTTTGTTTCTTAAAAAGGGTAAATATCTGGACATTTTCTATCCATATGTAAATCTGTGCATACATTTGATTCTCTATTTTTTATTAACAATGCTTATTTCATGTGCTTGGGTTGAAGATTTAGTGAAATAATTTATATAAAGCACTGGACATGGTGCTACTATGTAATAATCTCTCAGTGAATAGTAGCCATTATCATCATTATCATTAATACAATCTATTAGGTATATTTCTGCCTACATGAGTATGTGTGTCTGTTTGTAAAATGATTGTAACTGCATGTAATTGCTTGTTTCAGAATGTATGTGTTTTTTTCACAAATATGGCTGTAGCTATGGGCATATGTATGTTCTCTGTGTATATACATGTGAGTGTGCAAGTATATTTTTGTGGAAGGTAATACAGCATGGTGATTATGCTGGAGCCACACTTCCTGAGCTCAAATCCCAACTCTACCGATTTTTATCTAGATGGCTTTGGGCAAACTACTTTACACCTCTGTTCTGCAGTTTCTCTATTGTAATAAAGGGATAATAATGGTGTCTACTTCATAGGGTGGTTGTGAGGAATAAATGATTTAATCTGTGTAAAACACTTGGAACAGGTGCACCATGCACATACAATAAATATAGCTTTGTTATTATTATTATTATTGTCCTGAAATTGACTAAGATTTTATGTAACAGAGTGATTTTATGTGTAAATGGAAGTGTGTGCATCTCTGCTTTTAGGTAAGACTACATGTACCTGTGTGTGCAAGTTTATGTATTTATGTAATGCTGTCCATGTTTCTGTGTTTGACTGTAACTGTGTATGGTATCACTGAGTGCTTCGTCCTAGTCCCAGGAAATCTAACGTCCTGACTTATGCATTGAAGTGAGAGGTTAGAATCTTGGGTCTGCTTCTGACTCAGGATTAGACCTATGAAATGAGTTTATGAATAGCCTTGGGAATCAGCAGACAACATTTCTTCTGAGAAGTTCAAAATACTTCCCTCACATACTATCATTTATTTTTGGTTCATTGTTAACTTTTGAAGTATAATACACATAAAGTGCACAAATCTTGTTTATAGCTCAATGTATCTTCATAAACTGAGCACGCTTTTTCAACCAGCATGTAGATCAAGAAACAGAGCATTACTTAGAAGCCCTCCTCTTCCCTTCCCAGTCACAGAATCCTACTCCAAGGCAAACATTATCCTTACTTCTACCAGTATAGATTATGTTGGCCTGATTTTGTACTTTATTTAAATGAAATCATACAATATGTACTATTTTGTGTCTATTTTTTTAAACATTACATTTGTCATAGTCATTCATATTGTTGTGTGTAGTTGCAGTTTGTTCATTATTATTGCTATAAAGAATTTCATTTTATGAATAAAATGCAATGTGTTCATTATAGTGTTCGTGAACATTTTGACTGTTTCTATTTTGGGTTTATGAATATTCTAGTAAATATTTTTTTGGTAAATTCTCACTTGTTGTTAAGTACAATTTAGAGAGGATAGGAAGTGGCAACAATGAGTGTTCCCCTTTTGCCTATGGGAAAACAGAGGCAAAGGGAGAATTAGTGTTAGCGGCCCAATAAGGCTTCTGGTGCCTGTTTCCTGATTCTTGGGAGAGAGAACATTCTTCCTGCTACACCTTTGAAAAAACAGGGACATGGATGCAGCTGGAAACCATCATTCTTAGCAAACTATCACAAGAACAGAAAACCAAACACCGCATGTTCTCACTCATAGGTGGGAACTGAACAATGAGATCACTTGGACTCCGGAAGGGGAACATCACACACCGGGGCCTATCATGGGGAGGGGGGGGGAGGGATTGCATAGGATTTATACCTGATGTAAATGACGAGTTGATGGGTACAGCACAGCAACATGGCACAAGTATACATATGTAACAAACCTGCACGTTATGCACATGTACCCTAGAACTTAAAGTATAATAATAAAAAATTTTAAAAATAAATAAATAAATAAATAAAAAATAAAAATTAAAAAAAAAGAAAAGAAAAAACTGGATCCAGATTTCTCTTCTGAAGGAACTAGTAATACCTGATTAGCAGCATGGGTGACTTTTTAACTATGCCCTTCAAAATCCAATCACTGAACACTTATTGAACCAGAAGGAATCAGGTAAGCTAAAGAAACTGGGCTAATTGGGTTTTGCTTTCTCAGTCACTCAATCTGGCTCATGCCTCTTCAGTTTTCTGGACACGTAGAAAGCCCTTTTGTTCTCTTTCTTCTACACCAGCAGTTTTTATTTGCCTGTTTCCCAGAGTAATGTGGGCCATGGAGTCAGGCCACCTCCTCTGGGCTCTGCTGTTCATGCAGTCCTTGTGGCCTCAACTGACTGATGGAGCCACTCGAGTCTACTACCTGGGCATCCAGGATGTGCAGTGGAACTATGCTCCCAAGGGAAGAAATGTCATCACGAATCAGCCTCTGGACAGTGACATGTAGGTTTAATTTCTTGTGGTATTTGTGGGGAAGTTGTGGGAGCACCCTTGAGGTCAGGAAGTAGCCTCTTGTGGCCCCTTTCCCTGGATGTGGTAGCCTCCAACTCCTGATCACTCCGAGCTGTGCATACTTAATGGCATATTTCCTGGGAAGAAGGCTAGTTGACTCAGAAGCCAGTATTTCATCTGGAGTTTGCCATAACATTTTTAGAGTCTTAAAGAGAATTCCATATTTGCTGTTTTCTAATCTGAAACCCACAATGTTTACTTATTTAATAACAGCTGTTTGATTTTAAAAAAGAATAATGAAATATATACAGTGTTTATAAGATGTATGTGTGGGAGCTATGCTTCTATAGTTTGGTGAAGCTACTGTATATTTATTTCAGATATGTGAAAATGTAAAAAAAGAAAGTAAACCTTAGAATCAAGGAATTAATGGTAATAGCTCTCACTTATGTAATACTCTGTGATACAGACCATACTAGAAATTTACATTCTTTGTCTCAACTCTCACAAAAACTCTAGAAGGTAAGTATGTGTGTAGTTATTTTATAGATGAGAAAACTGAGGCTCAGGGAGGGCAAGTGACTTATCCAAGTCCTATAACTAGTAAATGAAAGAGATAGGATTTGAACCTGGATAATGTGAATGTAAACTAATGCTCTTCTCATCACTCTGTCCCTCATAGATCCCACAAGATTCACCTTTCCTGATCTTAGAAAATAGCAAGTGCTCCACAAATATCTGTTAAAGAATAAATGAATGTATGAAAAAATCTTTTGTGACCATGACTCATTTTTTCTCTCCAAAGCTTTGGAGTTTTCCAAAGTTGATTGTAATATCTCTGAGTTCTCTGAGAAGAGTTAGAGTATAGTAGGAATAACAATTCTGTCTTTTTTGACACAAAGTATTCATCTAGTTTCAGAGTCAGAGTCCTTGTATTAATTTTTTTGAGGGAATAAATTCATTATCTTCCATCCCTAGTACTTTGAAGTAATAGTCCATATTTATTGAGCTTTTACTATTTGCCACTGTCCTAAGCTCTTCGTGTATTTGAATGTCTTTTAGTCACCAATAAAAGCTCTCTGAGTTAGGAACTATGATTATTTTCATTTTACAGATGGGCAAATTGTGTACGGAGTAGTTAAATAACTTGTTCAACATCCCACTAATTTGGAAGTGACAGAGTAAGCAATCAGTCCAAGTGGCTTGGCTCCAAACTTTGGAGTTATAACCACTATGCCCTAAAGTCTCCCATATGTCTCAGAATGATGTTAAGTCAGGCTACGTCGACGAGGAGTCGATCACTTAAAGAGTCAGTCCACAGTTGGTTGTCTCTTTGTTACTATATATTGTGTCAAACTATGTGAAATTGCCTTTTATGTGGGTTTAAAGTGGTCAAATATCAGCAATTTCATATGCTGATATTTGAAATTTTTAACAGTTAAATCTAAAACTTTAGTGTTTTTATCAGTACAATCCCGTTTCCTCTTATTTTGTCCTAAACAAAGATATTCACTTTTTGGCCAGTCTCCTCTGGAAAAGGAGCCTTCCAAGGCTTGAAGATGGGGGGCAAAATTATGACTCTCTTTCTTCTTTCCCAGAGTGGCTTCCAGCTTCTTAAAGTCTGACAAGAACCGGATAGGGGGAATCTACAAGAAGACCATCTATAAGGAATACAAGGATGACTCATACACAGATGAAGTGGCCCAGCCTGCCTGGTTGGGCTTCCTGGGGCCAGTGTTGCAGGCTGAAGTGGGGGATGTCATTCTTATCCACCTGAAGAATTTTGCCACTCGTCCCTATACCATCCACCCTCATGGTGTCTTCTACGAGAAGGACTCCGAAGGTAAACCATTTTGCCGTTTCTTTCCCCCATGTCCAACAAATATCACTTTTCCTTTATTGCCATTTGAAGGAGAAGAGTTGGCAGTGAAGATTGTCTTTTCTTCCTATTTATCTGAGGTGGCAAAGACTCTCCTCAGAGTAAACAAGGGTGGGCACTGGTATCAGCTCTGCCATTCATATATTGTGTGACTTGGACAAGTCATTGTCTCTCTCTAGGTCTCAGATTCCTTCTCAGAAATGTGAAGACACAGTCTACCTCTTAACACAAGGAACTATTTGAATGGCATTTCCATAGAATATTTGAATATTCTATGAAAAGAAAAGAGAATGCTATAAATGTGAAGGATTGTCATCCTAGTGTCACAGTCTTCTGAAAGTTCCATTTCGTTTTTCCCTAAAGTGGAGTTCAGCTTATTTATCTCTACTTCCCTTATTCCTGGCCCAGTGATTTATAATACTGACAACAGTGAGTGAGAGGAATAGAAAGGGAAGTCAGAAGACTCTGGCTGGGCCACTGAATCCCTGTATGATCCTGGACAAGTTGCTTTTCCTTAGTTTTCTCTTCCATACAGTGGAGAAGCGAACCAACTATTCATTAAGTTGACTGTAGACTGAAATTATGTGATTGCCTGCTTTTTTTTTTTTTTTTTTTAAGTGAGTGCTTGAAGGGAGGGAATCATGTCTTCTTCCTTGCTTCTATGCCACCAGCTTTATGCTATGGCATTACCAGATCAGGCCGAGCTGTACTTTTCCTAGCCATAGAACTTTTCAAGTGGCTACAATCTTTCCACCCATTGTTAATGTGAGGACTGGATTTTTTAGGTTAAATGTTACCTAAATCTGTGCTCTCCTTAGGTTGTGAGGAACACTATGCAAGTCATTAGAATGCTACATTTTATAAGACCGGACCTAGGGTTCTACATGTCAGCTGTGTCTTAATTTATGTATTTGCCACGGTCCCTCACTTATTCTGGGCCTGGGCATGTGCAATTTCATTTCTAGGTTCCCTATATCCAGATGGCTCCTCTGGGCCACTGAAAGCCGATGACTCTGTTCCCCCGGGGGGCAGCCATATCTACAACTGGACCATTCCAGAAAGCCATGCACCCACTGATGCTGACCCAGCGTGCCTCACCTGGATCTACCATTCTCATGTAGATGCTCCACGAGACATTGCAACTGGCCTAATTGGGCCTCTCATCACCTGTAAAAGAGGTACAGGTCCCAAAGATAAGCTATGAGGTGCAGTTTGGGACATCTAGGGGTAGCAGTGATATGGTTGAACCACCTACATATTGGGCAGCAGCTTGAGGAGTGCTAATTCAGCACTCTTGTTTATTAGCAAGGAAAATCTCTGCTAAACTCACTTTCCACTATTTTTTTGTTTTTTCAATTTCATTACTTTTTTCTTTGTTTGTGGGTTAGGAACAATTTTTTTTTTTTTCAATAGGTTATTGTGGTGCAGGTGGTATTTGGTTACATGAATAAGTTCTTTAGCGGTGATTTGTGAGATTTTGGTGCACCTATCTCCTGAGCACTACACACTACACCCTATTTGTAGCCTTTTATCCCTCGCCCACCTCCCAGCCTTTTCCCCAAATCCCCAAAGTCCATTGTATCATTCTTATTCTTTTGCACCCTCATAGCTTAACTCCCACATGTCAGTGAGAACATACAATGTTTAGTTTTCCATTCCTGAGTTACTTCACCTACAATAATAGTCTTCAATCTCATCCAGGTCACTGCAAATGCCATTAATTCATTCCTTTTTATGGCTGAGTTAGTCCATCGTGTGTGTGTGTGTGTGTGTGTGTGTGTGTGTGTGTATATATATATAAAACTGTGGTGTATATATATATGTATATATATGTATATATATGTATATATGTATATATATGTATATATATATGTATATATATATACACACCACAGTTTCTTTATTCACTTGTTGATTGATGAGTATTTGAGTTCGTTCCATGATTGATTTTGCAATTGTGAATTGTGCCACTATAAACATGCATGTGCAAATATCTTTTTTGTATAATGACTTCTTTTCCTCTGGGTAGATACCCAGTAGTGGGATTGCTGGATCAAATGGTAATTCTACTTTTAGTTCATTAAGCAATCTCCACACTGTTTTCCATGTGGCTCCACTAGTTTACATTTCCACCAGCAGTGTAGAAGTAACTGTTCCCTGTTCACCACATCCAAGCCAACATCTACTGTTTATTGATTTTTTGATTTTGGTCATTCTTGCAAGAGTAAGGTGGTAGTGCACTGTGGTTTTGACTTGCATTTCGCTAATCATTAGTGATGTTGAGGATTTTTTCATATGTTTGTTGGCCATTTGTATATCTTGTTGTGAGAATTGTCTATTCCTGTTCTTAGTCCACTTTTTGATGAGATTGTTCGTTTGTTTTTTTCTTGTTGATTTGTTGGAGTTCACTGTAGATTCTGGATATTAGTCCTTTGTTAGACGTATGGATTGTGAAGATTTTTTCCCACTCTGTGGGTTGTCTGTTTACTCTGCTGACTGTTCCTGTTAGCGTGCAAAAACTCTTTAGTTTAATTAAGTCCCAACTATTTTTCTTTGTTTTTATTGCATTTGCCTTTGGGTTCTTACTCATGAAATCCTTGCCTAAGCCAATGTCTAGAAGGATTTATCTAATATTTTCTTCTAGAATTTTTATAGTTTTAGGTTTTATATTTAAGTCCTTAATTCATCTTGATTTGATTTTTGTATAAGGTGAGAGATAAGGATCCAGTTTCTTTCTCTTACATGTGCTAGCCAATTATCTCAGTACCATTTGTTGAAAAGGGTGTCTTTACTCTACTTTATGTTTTTGTTTGCTCTGTCAAAGATCAGTTGGCTGTAAGTATTTGGGTTTATTTCTGAGTTCTCTATTCTGTTCCATTGGTCCAAGTGCCTATTTTTATACCAGTACCATGCTGTTTTGATGAAATGGCCTTATAGTATAGTTTGAAATCAGGTAGTGTGATGCCTCCAGATTTGTTCTTTTTGCTTAGTATTGCTTTGGCTATGCGGACACTTTTTTGGTTCCGTATGAATTTTAGAATTGTTTTTCTAATTCTGTGAAGAATGATGGTGGTATTTTAATGGGAATTGCATTGGATTTGTAGATCGCTTTTGGCAGTGTGGTTATTTTCACAATATTGATCCTAACCAACCATGAGCAGGGATGTGCTTCCATTTGTCTGCGTCATCTATGATTTCTTTCAGCAGTGTTTTGTAGTTCTCCTTGTAGAGGTCTTTCACCTCCTCAGTTAGGTATAGTCCTAAGTATTTATTTATTTATTTGTTTGTTTGGTTTTTTGTTTGTTTTTGCAGCTGTTGTAAAAGGGGTTGAGTTCTTGATTTGATTCTCTGCTTGGTCACTGGTAGTGTATAGAAGAGCTACAGATTTGTGTATATTTATCTTATATCCAGAAACTTTGCTGAATTCTTTTATCAGTTCTAGCAGCTTCTGGAGGAGTCCAATTTAGGGTTTTCAAGGTAAACTATCATATCATCAGCAAACAGTGACAGTTTGACTTCCTCTTTACAGATTTGGATGCCCTTTATTTCTTTCTCTTGTCTGATTTCTCTGGCTAGGACTTCCAGTACTAAGTTGAAGAGGAGTGGTGAGAGTGGGCATCCTTGTCTTATTCCAGGTCTCAAAGGGAATGCTTTCAAGTTTTCCACATTCGGTATAATATTGGCTGTGGGTTTGTCATATATAGTTTTTATTATATTGGAGTTTGTCCCTTGTATACCAATTTTGCTGAGAGTTTTAATCATAAAGGAATGTTGGATTTTGTCGAATGCATTTTCTGCATCTATTGTGAGGATCATGTGATTTTTAAAAAATTCTGTTCACGTGGTGCATGTTCTCACTCATAGGTGGGAACTGAATAATGAGATCACTTGGACTCGGGAAGGGGAACATCACACACCAGGGCCTATAATGGGGAGGGGGGAGGGGGGAGGGATTGCATTGGGAGTTATACCTGATGTAAATGACCAGTTGATGGGTGCTGAGGAGTTGATGGGTGCAGCACACCAATATGGCACAATTATACATATGTAACTAACCTGCACGTTATGCACATGTACCGTAGAACTTAAAGTATAATAATAATAATAATAATAATAATAATAATAAAAAAATTCTGCTCACGTAGTGCATCACATATATTGACTTGCATATGTTAAACCATTCTTGCATCCCTTTCATACCCATCAAGTTAGTATGAAACCCACTTGATCACAGTGGATTATCTTTTTGATATGTTGTTGGATTCCATTAGCTAGTATTTTGCTAAGAATTTTAGGACCTATGTTCATCAGAGATATCGGTTCTAGTTTTCTTTTCTGGTTATGTTCTTTCCTGGCTTTGGTATTAGGGTGTTGCTGGCTTCATAGAATCAATTAAGGAGAGTTTCTTCTTTCTCTCTCTTGTGAAATAGTGTCAAAAGGATTGGTACCAATTCTTCTTTGAATGTCTGGTAGAATTCCACTGTGAATCCATCTAGTCCTGGAGTTTTTTGGTTGGTAATTTTTTAACTGCCATTTTAATCTTGCTGCTTGTTACTGGTGTATTCAGGGTATCAAATTCTTTCTGGTTTAATCTAGAAGGATTGTATTTTTACAGGAATTTATCCATCTCTTTTGAGTTTCTAGTTTACGTGCATAAAGGTGTTCATAGTAGCTTTGAATCTTTTGTATTTCTGTGGTGTCAGTTGTAATATCTCCCCTTTCATTTCTTAATGAGATCATTTGGATTTTCTCTCTTCTTTTCTTGGTTAATCTTGCTAGTGGTATATCAATTTTATTTATTTTTTTCAAAGAACCAGCTTTTTGTTTCATTTATCTTTTGTATTTTTTTTTAATTTATTTATTATTATTATACTTTAAGTCAGCTTATAAGTTGTAGGGTACAAGTGCATAACGTGCAGGTTTGTTACATATGTATACCCTTGTGCATGTTGCTGTGCTGCACCCCATCAACTCGTCATTTACATCAGGTATAACTCCCAATGCAGCCTCCCCCTCCCCCCCCTCCCCATGATAGGCCCGCCGTGTGTGGATGTTCGCCCTTCCCCGAGTCCCAAGTGATCTCCATTGTTCAGTTCCCACCTATGACGATGAAGAACCATGCGTGGTTTGGTTTTCCTTGTTCTTGTAAATAGTTTGGCTAAGAATGATGCGTTTCAGCTGCATCCATGTCCCTATAAAAGGCACAACAACATCATCCTTTTTATGGGGCTGGCATAGTAATTCGCATGGTATATGATGTGCCAAATTTTCTTTTAATACCAATCGTCCCAACGATGGACCCATTTGGGTTGATTCCAAGTCTTTGGCTATGTGGAAATAGTGGGCTGCAAAATAAACAATACGTGTGCAATGTTCTTATAGCCCAGCATAATTATATAATCCCCGGGTATAATACCAGTAATAGGACTGGCTGGGTCATAATGGTACCATCCTACTTCTAGATCCTTGAGAACCTCCGCCATACTGTTTTTCCCAATAATGGGTTGAACTAGTTACATCCCACCAACAGTGTAAAATGTGCCTATATTTTCCCCCACATCTCTCCCCAGGCACCTGTTGTATCCTGCTTTTGAATGATCGGCCATTTAACTGCGTGTGAGATGGTATCTCATTGTGGGTTTTGATTTGCATTCTTCTCACTCACGCCAGTGATGATGAACATTTTTTCATGTGTCTGTTGGCTTGGTATGATGTCTTCTTTTGAGAAATGTTCTGTCATTCTTTGGCCCACCTTTTGATGGGGTTTTTTGGGTTTTGTTTTTTTCCTTGTAAATTTGTTTGAGTTCTTTGTAGTTCTAGGATATTAGCCCTTTGGTCACGATGAGTAACGATTGCAACCTTTTCTCCCCATTCTGTAGGTGCCCTTGTTCAGCTCTGATGGTAAAAGTTTCCTTTGCTGGTGCAGAACCTCGTTTAGTTTATTAGATCCCATTTGTCAATTTTGGCCTTT